GAAATTCGTTTTAGAAAGAATTGTGAAATTATCGTGTAAATCGATAATCTGGCAAAGTTGCCAACACTTGTTAATACACAGGGAAAATAAATCAATAATTTTGTAGTTGGAACCAAGCGAGACAAGTATATATGAAAATTACGAAACAATAGAAGACGGCATACAGCTGTATCACTGATTTAAAAAATTAGTACCTCTAAACAATCATTCACCTATTAAAACCATCTCTAAAACAGAGAAGCTACATTGCTTTTTATGATGACATCTTCTTAAAAATAGATGAACTACACAATTACAGGAATTCATAGAAAATCTCTAATTTGACAAATAAATTTATCAAATATTTGTTAATCGTATTTCCACTTTAGAAATATTTTGGCGGGATACTTGGAAAAATATGTAGAATGATATCTCCTACTTTTTAGCTCTGGTTTTAAAATCACTTTTCATGATTTTTTTTAAATTGTTTACTTTTTGAGATATCTAATGTTAGTAATTAAAAACATCTCAAATTAAGAACCTTGATTTCAAACTTCAAATATCTCGTAAAATTCATTATTTGAAAGTAAATAGAAACTAAGGAATACTATAAATCTAAGAAATATCATTTCTATTGGTTAGAACTTTGTTAGGCACTGATAAAGTTTAATTTTTTTGTTCCAAAACCGAACATCTTATTTTGCAAGCAAAATAACTCGGATAGGTACCAAGATACTTATAAATTCTCTCCGCACCTGAAGATTATGAGATTCGAAGGGTCAGCGGTCAATTTTGTATTTAGGACATACGTCCTTAAATTTACTAGAGATGCAATTTCCGGTGAAAATCGAGTACGGGTTGTCCTGAATAAGTTTACACGTTTTATAGGTATGCACCGCCTTTGCTACCTGCGCGAGGAGGCGAAAAAATTCATAGAAGTTCGCTTGCATTTATGGAGCGGTCTTATGAAAGCCTTTATTTAAAGTAGGTATTATTATTATCAAGTTTTTAGAGTTGCAGTTCAAATAATGTCATTAAAATCAATTAAATCGATAATAAAGCACACTACATTTAAAACATATAACTTATAACTTAATGATTGCAATTTATGTAAAAGATTATAGATTTAGATAAGGATATTGAAGAAAATATACCTGACTCTCACAGGCGAGATTATGGGTCGGATTATAGCTCAGGAGTTTGCGTCCAGGCGAGTTTAATAGTATCATTAAAAACCCCTACCTGCTTCCAGGCGAGTTTAATGCCGCCCGGCAACGCAACGCGCGGCTTTATTGTGTTATAATAAACACTATATTAATTTCATGGCGATTAATTTTCAATATTTTTATTAGTTTGCTTTGATGTTGACATATCACTAAATCTATACGCTTTTAAATTCCGTTTTCAACCTATTCGTACAGCCAACAAGTAGTAATATGGACTAAATTATTCTCATTGTGATTTCACTTAACCATAAGTGGTTCTCTGGCATGTAGCCAACAGACGGAAAATATAATTTTGAAATATTCCTGATTCGTTAAGTGGCTCTGGAGGTAATCTATTCAAGCACACTTTAAATTCCTAATATTAACTCTGGAAAATTGTTAGTGAAAAGTGGAGCTCCATATTTAAATATACTGGCAGATAATTTAACTTTTCATCATAAGTAATCCTATTAAAAATTTATAAAATACATTTAGTTGTTTAACAATTACATTATCTAATGATTTTTTATAAAAATTCAAGAAATTTTAGGTACTGTAACTGCTTTAGATTTTATCATTTTGACATACTTCATAAATGTAGTTTTTTTTTAACAAAATCTATAACAAAGGCCCGGAAATTGGGTGCAAAAAGAAAAATGATGGAAATAAAAATGGAAAAACAGTACAATTAACAGTTGAGTATAGTAAAATTTAAATAAAATTAAAAAGTAAGCATAAAAACGATAGATGACGAAGATTTTAACAACTTCATCAGCGAAGAGCTTTTTGTATTTGGAACACCATGTATATTAAATTTTTATGATCTATCTTCTATAAATTTCTCATTTTATTCTATAATATTATGTATGTATTTATATGTTTACATATTCCAAGTTTAACGAAAATATACAGAAACGTCTTTATATAAAGTTTGATTTATAATAATTTGTTTTTTTCACAATTTATTTCCTACGAGCATAAATGTCTATAGTCCTCGTCTTGATTAAGAAATAGAGGCAAAGTGCAGAGTGTTCAAAACCGTTGCGGTAAATTTATATACAGTGGAAACATGCAACACAGAATTTAGTATCAAACTTTCTAGACTTAAGTACTGATGGTTCTCGTATGCTCAACATTACAAAAGCCCAGGAAGTTTAGGTCTTTCAGTAAGATAAGTTGTAAGTTTCTACTTGGTTTTTATAAGTGATGACTTAGCAGAAATGATACACACTTCTCATTCATAGTAAGTGACAAGGGGGGCGGAACAGAGCCGGCAGGATGTTGGTAGAAAATAAGGAATGAGAACAGATTAGAAAAGTGTAATCGATCGGGCGGTGGTACGCTGACTCCGGATCGCTAGTATCATTTCTTTAATTGATTTATACTTGATATCTATTATTATCCGTATTTCTTTAATAATTATTTGTCTAAAGTAATTTCAAGTGTTGTTAACATTGTTTATTGTTTTATATTGCATTAACAAATATTAAAAGTGTTAAATGTGGTGTTTTGTCATAACAGTGTCTGATGGTAACGCCCCAAGATATCCAAAATACGACATATATTAAGCTAGAGACGAGATGTTTTGAAAAAATGCAAAGATAGTTTTAAACAACAAATTTCTTTATAAATTAGTTCAGGATAATCACTGTTTTAACGAATTTTAATCGATGTTATAAAATTCTAATAGTCATTCAGTATTTGTAGCATATTTTTAATAACACCCAAAGTTGCACATATTGTAATGAGTTTCTAAATTAATAACTCTTTGGACAGGTATTTTATTTACATGATTACACATATATAGAAACAACGTTCAATTATACTGAGGGTAGGAGGGAGATTAGATTATTCAGATTTGAGTTTTTATCAAAAACATCTCATTATATTGCCATCAAATGCACATACAGGGTGTTCCATCTCAGACGAGCCCCCCGTATGGGTATATATGAGATGCTCTCCAACCAAAGTGCAACAAATCCAAAAAGTAAAAATAAAAGAAAAACGCAATTACAAATACAGTTGTGGATATGTTGCATTTTGAAAATAAAACACATTGTATATACTTTAACATAAGACAAGTTGCACTTTATCTTTTATACAAATATTGATTTGGTTAATATAGCCAACAGATATTCTTGTGCCTTTTCTATATCAATTTTGAAATGTTTGGATTTGTTTCACTTTGGTTGGAGAGCTCCTTATATGAGGTATAGGAGCAAGTAATGGAATAGTTCTGACAGGGAGTTGCACTTTATCTTTTATATAAATATTCCATTGGTTAATATAGCCAACAGATATTCTGGTGCCTTCTCTATTTAAATTTTGAAATTTTTGGATTTGTTTCACTTTGGTTAGAGAGGAGCTCTGTGGTACCCCAGCAAGTAAAGTGAATGGTTCTGACAGGGAGTTGCCTACTTTGACCTTGTATTGTTCTGTCAGTGAGGTAGGAGTGAATGAGTTTGGAGATTATGCAAGAGAAACCTATGTTTATGAGCTTTTTGACTAGTCCAGCATGTGAGACTTGCACAAAGGCTTTTTGAACATCTAGAGTTTATTGCAGTGACTACAGTAGTGTGGAGAGAGGACATTGCGTCCTGTGTGGAGTGATGAGGTTTGAAAGCATGTTGGGATTAAGGGATTATGTTTCGTTCTTCACCAAAGTTTTAGATTCTTTCCTTGAGCAGAAATTCAAGGAGTTTACCTAGGACAATTTTTCTTAAAGATTTAATTTTATATTTCTTTTTATAATTTTTTTTTGTAGGAATCATTTCAATTATAAAAAATGTTTTAGCAGTGGTCTTTAATTCAATAAATGTTCAAACCTATATATCTTAAAATAAATTTCCCATTCTTACTCTTTCACCCTTCTCAGTTATTACTATAATTAAATATTTTCGTAAAAATATAATTTCATATATATTTTTCTAAGAAATATCTACGAAATAAATTTTTGCCATTAAAAAATCTCTTTGTGAATAATTATTTCAGGGTGATTCAGCTAATCCATTAACTATTGATGAAGTTCAATATGGAATTGTTTCACTTAGCTATCTTCACAAGGGTTGCCCACTACATAGACTGGATAACAAACAAACTATAAATGTGTAATTTTAAGTATTTCAACTAAATTTAAATAATTTTATTCTTATTTTGTTTATGTATAATAAAATATACACTTTCCAAGCCTAGTGAATGTGTTTTAACTAATATCTACATTTATTATTATTATTTTTTTTTAATTTTAAACAAGTTGCAGTATCATGCAAGAAAATGTTTAGCCTATGGATCAATGATGGACTCTCGTTATGAGGATATAACAAATCATCAAAACTAAAAATTATTGATAGATTTCATTACAAAGTGGTTATAGCTCTTATAGCCTTGGTACGTTCACAATAATTTAAACTTTTTTTTCTCTAAACAATATCATTAAGGTCGACTTAAAATTCGATAACGAAGTGAGGATATCAAATATTTAAATACCTATCTACCTATCTAAGTAAACATTTTGCGTATCTCATATAATATACAACTTTTTATTTGCAGTGTTCTATCTACTCTAAACTAAAAATTAAATTTATAAATGCTAGAATTATGTACAAACGACTAAACTATATTGATTTATAAAAAGTATCTACACTGTATAGGTTTTTCATATCCTTGTATCCTTGTATTTTCTAAACTAGTAACTCTAGATATTTTGTTACGTGAGTTTTCCTATGTTACCCCTTTTCTATAAAGGAAATTTGACCTTAACAAAAGCATGTTTTCAATACTTGCTACATTATTATCAAAATTATGATAGGAATTTACCTAGAATCTGTTTGGAATTCGGGTACACTCAATGGAATGCAGAAGGGTTTGTCTCCTAAATTCTTTGTGAGCATTACTCTACGCATTCTTATTCGTTAAAGTAATAAGTAAATACAGTGGTAATCAACATATATATTAAAAAAAAACAGTAATATAATAAAGTCAAACAAATTTAAAATAAAACTCTGAAAAGGTTAGACAGAAGCGTTGTTTATAGGTATAGATAAAGATAGATATTGTCATGAAAATATGAACGGTAGAACAATAATTAATAAATAGTAAAAGTTTTCATTTAAAAATCAATAATAAAATCACTATACACTTTGACTATGATAAAAAAAAAAAAATTAAATTTTTCTATAACGAGTAAAAATAAAAAGTACGGCCACACACCTTAATATTTTGTGAAATTAAATCAACTCTCTTTGATTAGTTTTTTTTTACGTGGCCTGCCTAGCAACGCTGGTTGTCAAGGAAAAATAAAACAAGACGGATAGACATATTGAAATTTTGGGGACCAAAAAAGAAAAAAAGAAAAAAAAGAAAAAGTTTTTAAACCAAAAATTAAAGAAATTTTTAAAGATTTCGTGTTGTAATGAAATTTGACTTATCCCAGAAATATATGTGACAATTAATTACTAAGTAAGAAGTTTATTTCTAATTTAAAACTGAAATAAAACACTCACCGTCGAACAATTAAGAAGATTCCAAGTCCTCTTATGGTATATTTGAGGAAAAGACACTCAGCATTATGGAATTAGCATTTGTGTGTGTAGTTGACCTAGAAGAGAATAAAGAAAATATTAAAATCTGGTGAAGAACTTGTATAAGCAGGTATTTATATTACTTACGTAAAATAATTGATTATAAATATAGACAATTTGTATATTACAAATGATTGAAAAACCATTATGTCTTTTGGACGTTAAAAAAGAACTTAATCTCTATTCTGTCTGTATATAGTTTAGTTCAGGTAGTTTTTAAGACTGTTATTAGGTGGCGACACAAATACTTTGTGTAAAAAAAATTGCCCATATTCTATAGATGTCGCCAATATAAATTTGTAGGTACCTACACAATTTTTTTTGAATAGTTCGGCACTTAACAAATAGATGTCGTTATAGCCATTTAACTTAAAATTTTATAACGTCCATTGTTGAACCAATTTAAAACTGTCAGCAAGGTATTATTACATGAGTTTTCTTTTATACAGTTTTAAAAAGGATTCGACTAATTTCAAATTAATTTTAATTCTGTTTTCGATTTATTTATTTATTTATTTGTATTCTTGTTATAATAAAAAATATATGAAAATAAGTCAAACTTCTATTCAATATCAGTTTTCTTTTGTATCATTAATAGTAAGGGGAGAAAATAGAAATTCTAAATATAGTCCTGTGATAAAAGCTAAATTTTTCCTAATAGTAATGAACAAGCCTAATTTTCTAAATTAATTTATTGACAAACAATGAAACAACAAATTCATATGATTAATATAATTAAATATTCATTCTGAACCGACACTGAGAGTAGAGTCATCTATACTCTGTTAAATTACTTAACAGACTAGCCGGAGCAACAATCTAGATAAAAAAAGTAAGTATAATTGACCATACTATTCATTTATATAAATATATATAAATAAATAAAATAAAATATAATTTTATAATACCCTCACCAATATATTATCATGACAATATATCCATCTATTTATCCCTACTCAATAAAGCAATATAGCTCTTTCTAATGTGACAGCTGACGCGATAGTTCTGGCAATATGAATGCTTGCAATAAATAAGGATTTAATAATGAATGAATGAATTAGTCCAGTAATTTTTTGTCATTGATTATAACCCTTCTGTTCACCATCATATGTTTTATTTACAAGTTTGTTACATCCTACTATTTCATCTGTCATACTTTGTATAATGCGCTCATTTACCTCTACTTCGATATAGCATAGTTCTATATAAAAATTGTTTATGAGTATATAACAGTATCCCGATAAAAATATGACCACATTCTGTTTTATATGCATATAATATTCAAACTAAAAGCTATAATTTACAATTTTCTATTTGTATGTATAATAAAGTCATTATCAACCGTTATGCTCTCACCCAATAATATATAAATCATTACTTATCACCAAGCCTGCCTATAAAATTTATAGTCATTGGAGGGATAATGAAACCAATTAATAACACGCCCTTGATAAACTACTGGATTATTCCTTAGTTTTTTGAGGTATTAATGAGACTAACTTATTTATTCTGGATCACTGAGTACAGGGTTTTCTTTGAAAGATTATTGACATGTCTTTAAATTAAAGTAATTGCCATTTGTTATTATATGAATGCTCTTTTCATTTATAGGCTCGTCAAGTATCACCATTAGAAAAAGTGCCAGAAACTTTACCACCAAAAAAAAAGTGGCGAGAGAACTCACCTAAAACAAGCACCTCGGCGGTTAAATTACAATTATTCAAGTTTAAAATTACAAAAAAAAATAATAATACAAACAAATACCCCTTAATTTACTCAACCGTGCGCTTATCAGAGTCTTAAAAGGGATTAAAATAAGGGTAGCCCATTGTAACGTTCCCACAAACCGAGCGGCACAGGTAAAATTCTTAAAACATCACACTTTATAACTGCCGGGTGTTTAAAATCACAGATTTTGTTTGAGCCATAAAATTTTAATATATTCCTTATCACAAATTATCCAAAACATGAACCGATAAGGAATTAAAATACAGAGGTCAATCAATAATTAGATATGGCTTTAAGTTCTCAGTAAGTGACTAATCAAGATATGTACTTATTACTAAAAAGTATTAATTCTAATCTTGAACAAAAAATTGATAAATTTCAAAATAAGATAAAAAATCTTAAAAGATCTGTAGATGTAGATATTACAAAATTAGATGAAAAAACAAATTGCTCAAAGAAACACTAAAACAAGAACAAAGAAAAAATAAGCTTAATAATATTATAGTGTATGGTGTAGAAGAAGAAGATAACGAAAGTCAAAAAAATATTTTAGATAATTTTTAAAAATTATTAATGAAGTGTTAGAACGTTTTTAGAGTAAGAGATAACACAGCTACTCGTCCAACTCTTTTATCCTTTGTACAGAAAATTGAAGAACACTGGTTTTTTAATAACAGACTATCTAATAAAGGAAGATAAGGAAGATAGAAAAACTTTAGTTGCTGCATTGAAAGAGGAAAGAAAGAATAACGAGAAATCATATATAAAGGGAAATAAGATTATTATAAAAGAAAAACTCTACACAACAAATGATATTGAGGATAAAAAATACTAAGAACTTCTATTAAGTAACAAATAGTCTTTTTAGTTTTTATACGCAGATTTACAAAGGTTTCATTCTAGTTACACGTTATTAATTTCTTCTTATACTAATTACCACACGTAATATTCGTAGACTCAATTTTTCAAACATAAATATGGGCTAAATCGAAAAGTTTTGGCCGTCTTGTTGTGACAAATCTTCACCGGGATTTGTAAGAAATCCTACAACTTGTTAAATGAACCGTTAAGGTAAATTAATGGTGCCATCTCTGGTTTGGACAATATAATCAGAAATTATTTATCGTGTGGAAGTGGAAGCAATTCGGTTGTTTCGATGCTACTTACGTAGGTAATTTAATATACATTTAACGAGTGTTATTCCACTAAAGGACAAATGAATTTTCATTTATCTAAACGAAAAGATTACTTGAAAAGAACAAGAACGTACTGATTTAAAAATATTATACCAAATGAGCACAAAACTTTACAAATAATAACATACCTATTCACAGGGTGTTATATTTATTCGTAACATGTGCCTTCGCCCTGGAAAAGGGTCGCCTTCGACCCTTGACCTACCTATAGACTAATCCTTTCCTACTATGTACTATCTTAAAAATTAATTTTACAATACAAAAAAATTTATAGAATTTTTCAGATAACAATTATTTCATCCGTTAACACTGGGCTAGTCCGCCTCTGCTGGTTAACACTACACAAGAATCCCAACTCGATTGGCCTTCGCTCAGGGTGTCATGTTCCATCGAGAGACAGGATGTGATGTCATTTAGGTAAATTAAAATGTTTGACCATTTCATACCTTTGAAGACTTCACCGGTTAGGGCTTGAAAAGTTGCCGGCGCGTTGCAGAGGCCAAAAATTAAGACATTGAACTCGTAAGTCCCATGCCTGGGCGACGAATGGTGTGTATGGCTTGGATTGTTCTTCTATGGGGACCTGTCAGTAACCGCTAAACATATCCAGAGTGGAGAAGTATTTTGCACCTCCCATATATGTTAAAATGTCATCCATATTTGGAAACGGGTAGGACGACTTCCTGGTTACACAATTGAGTTTTATGTAGTCCACACAGAATCTGTAGGTACTGTCTTTCTTTCGGCAAAGTACCTCTGGGCTTGCCCACGGAGAGTGCCATAGTCTTATCACGCCATACTCCAGCATCTCGTTTATGTGTTTATCTATTATCTGTCTCTCCTTTTGAGACACCCTGTATGGACGGCTCTTTATAGGGCTCGCCTCACCTACGTCAATCGTGTGGGTTGCTAAGTTTGCGCCCATGCGCCTCGTTGATTTCGAAAAAACATCATTGTACTCCATAAGCAACTCCTCCAACTCTCTCCTCATTTTTTCATCGAATATGTGATCTATGTTTTGGTCAGCTAATGTCACATCTTCCTCATCGGTTTCCGTATAAAGTATTAAAACTTCTTCCATAACTTTAGAGTTTTCGTACCAACTCATTGTGGTACCCTTGAGCAATTTCTTATCCACATTGTTGAAATTTGTAACCATTATCTATAACTTTTCTTTTTCTTCCATTACTTGACGACAAACGAGACCTCGTTCAATAAAAAAAATTGCTCCTTAATCACAAATTTTCCCTGCTTTCCCGGATGTAGGTTTATGACCGCATCTTGCCAATGTTTCAGAACCATATCTTCCTTTAACTCCTCTTTTTCTGGTTCTCAGTTACTGATTTCGTATCTCCAAAAGGGAAGGTTTGTTCCATCCCCATTCTCTCCTTTTTAACATAAGGTTTGTTGTTTTCACTGATGGCCTCTATCAATGTTTGATCCGCCATTTTCGATCTCTTTTGATCCTCTTTCTTTTCTGACTCTGGCTCTACGAGATTCTCCTGATTGGGACTGTCCACGTTTGTCTCCTGGGTTTTTTCGTAAAGTTTTTTTAGATCCTTCGTCAAGTTTATCCCACTAACTGTCTCTTTTACTTTATGTGAGGTAATGGTGTCCTCCCAGTAGGTTGTGCCCGCTCCAGTTACGTCACCAGTCTCAGTTATCTCTTGGTTCTCCTCCTCTTCGTCACTACTGTAGACTCTTTCCTTGGTTTCTTCTTCCTTCTCTTCTTTCTCTACTTCTTCTTTTTCATCTAGTTCTGCTTCTTGCTTTACTGCTTCGTCGTCCTCGGAAGCGGGTTCGATGCGGCTAAATATAATATAAATATAAAGATAGCCAAATCAAATTTCGAACAACACAATAAATACTTATAGATAATATAATATAAAGTACTTAAGTACTTTACAATTTATTATATATAATAAAACGTCACCAAATCGCATAATAGTATTCAAAATGATTTTCTTTAGAAATATTTTATGTATTTCTTACATTTTCAGTTTAATAGTATTTGCTTTAGGTAAGTTTTATCTTTTTTGGATATACATTTTATTGTGTTTTACAAGAAACGGTGCATAATTCGCATAAACGAGTTATAGTATATCTTGGAATAATTTAAAAATAAAATAGATTTTGGTTTATGATTGATCTGATATTTGGCTGTCGTTTGGGTATTGACAATTTTTGTTTATGTATCAAACACCATTTTTCTGATTCAATTATCCAATTAAACCTGATGTTGGGAGAATATTCAAGACTTTTTCGATTCATTTTGTCTACTAAATTATTTTATGTAAACATTTAATAGTGTTGGGCTCAAATCTGTGTTTTGGGGTAGTTCGTACTTTCGTTTTCTATAATAATTTTTTAATGTTATTTACATTTTTTTAATTTTCAATCATATTTATTCGTTATTGTTTACCAAATTTGAGGGATTATAATCTTTTAGGTAGACACAGTGTAAAAATAATTGAGGGTGGAGATGCTGACATAAGAGATTTCCCTTATATGGTAAGATAGAAGTTAAAATACATATTTTTGAAAAAATCCTAATATTTAATACTTTTACAGGCTGCTTTAACGGAAGTTGGTAGAGTTATTAGCTGTGGAGCCGCTATTATTAACGAAAATACGTTATTGACAGCTGCGCACTGTCTACTTGAGTAAGTTTATCGTGAAAATAAATACAAAATGGAATATATTTTATTATTTTACTCATATATTATCAATTATTATACATAGATCGGATCAGATCGGTGGCGTAAGTATCTAAGTCCAGAGACACTCAGCTTCGAATCCTACGAAAGATCATGTGAATTTACTTGCATGATTCTCTATGGGATTTAATAAATGCTGCATTTGCATAAATTTAATTGCTGTTGATACAACATCCAGTTTATAAAAATCGCCATGCGTTGCCGTTTCGATGATGGTGGGCGGGATTTTTCGGGTTTTACTCGCCTGTAAATCTAATAGCCCCATCAAATATCTTTAAGTCGTAAGGGGGTGAATTAAGGAGATTATTTTGCCTTAATCTGTTAATAAAATCTTTTATATCTTCTTATATAAATATATAAATATTATTTAGATAGGATTCCCCACTCGACCATTCACTGTTGGGTTCTAATTAACAGTGCTGTTTCTAAAGTGGCGCATGGAAACAGTAAAAAGGCCTGTCTGTAGGGTGCAAGAGTATTAGAGTACCTGCACTATGGAGTATTAGAATACTAGTACAATCCATAACCTACATAGAATACAGGGCTAATGACCTAAGTTGTCGAATACACTGGCCAGCAAAATTAACGTACCACTAAATTATTTCGAATTATTTTTAGAAATTCATATAAAAATAAAAATATCTATTTTTACTTTAAACTGCCAAAGTACACACATTCTAAATTTATAAAGTCGGTTTTTTTTATTGGTCTATTTATCTTATCTTTATTTTGTTGGAATTCAGATAAAATTTGAATTAACGTAGGTGCCTCTTTTTCTTTAGATTTTATTGCTAAAATTTATCATTTGCACTGAAAATTTACATTTGTGAGATACAGTGAAGAAAATTGCTTATTATAGAATGCCAATCTAGAAATTTGACCGCCGAAGAGTGTGCCCAGGCGGTCATTTTACTGAAAGAGGGATAGAGCTTTCGTAGAATTAGACAGAGATTTGGTGTATCGCATACATCCGTTTCCTGTATGATCAAACGTTATAGGGAGACAGGTCTGCAGCACTTAAGATGACTGCCATCACATAACTACGCAAGTTAAGGACCGTTTTTGATCCCCTTCCAAATTTAGTGTTTCAGGATATTTTCGAAATGTTTATAATCACTCCTTAAATTAGTATATTTCAAACATTATATGGATCGCACTGTATATCGTGGACAGCTTATTATTACAAAATTTTAATGTGCCTTTTTATTTTTTAGCGAGAAATTATCTTGGATAACAATTAAATATGGTAGTACAATATTTCAAGAGGGCATAGAAACAAATGTCTCTCAGGCTTATATACACAAAAATTTTAAAAACACCACCCCTCCGATGACAGATGATATTGCAGTATTGAAGGTACATATTGTTTTATTTTTACAATAACAAACCTAATAATTCTCAATAATAACTACATATATTTCTTCTTATGAATAGAAGAGTAAAATAATTATTCAGTAAAAAAAAAACTTTTAATATTAACAATACAATACTCATAGTACCTTTTGTAATCGAAGGGACCAATGAACTTTTACAGATGTTTAGACTGTAAGTATTTTGAAGTTCATGTCATTGAGATAAAAAGGTTAGATTCTCAAGGTCAGTTAAAGAATATGCAACCAAGTCTAGGAACAAAAAAGTTTTTATTACAATATTTAAATATCCAAAAATGCGCTTACTGATAAATTTCTATTTCCCTATTTATCTCTGTATTAATAAATATTATTTTTAGGTTGATCCTCCTATAGTTTTTAGTGAAACCGTCCAACCAATTAAATTACCGCAAAAGAATGTACCCAATCCAGCAGGAAAACTTGCAAAGTTCGCAGGATGGGGTAAAACAAACGATGTTAGTATCAATATTGAACAAAAATTCAAAAAAAAGTATTTTTGCATAATTTTAATTTTAGACTTATTACGTGCAATCAAATATACTCCAAAAAGTAGATATGACGATAATCGATGATAAAACATGTGAAGAAATTTGGAAAAATACTACTAATCCGGTCGACACTGAAAAGGAAATATGTGCACAAGCTGATATGTCTGATGGTAAAAGAAGAGGACCGTGTTATGTAAGTTGGCAACAGTTAAACTAAAATATAAACAAAGAGAGGAATAATAAAAAACTGGTCCAATGTGCCAAGCTAAGTATTTAGTTACTGTCATTCAGTGAAAACGACAGCACAATTGTTCGAATCCTAAAGCAGATGATGTTAATTTTTCTTTAAATTATATGGTTTGTATTAGTATTTATTTGTTTGTTAGATGAGTTAGTAAAGTTAACCGATTTGGCTTTGAATGATCTCAACAAGCTACTGTCAGAATCCCTGGAGGATAAAAGAATTTTCGTAAATATTAGGGGAGCATATACGAAGGGAGTAATGGGAGTAATTACTTCCTTCCAAGACCTTCTAAACATAACATTGTATTATTATCAAAGCTAGGGACTTAAAAATTATCACTTAGACTTAAACTTGACTTAATTATTAAGAAAGAATGTGCAAAATATTTATATTGCATTTAGTATTCGATTAACTTATTGTGAATATTTATTTCAGGGTGATTCAGGTAGTCCACTAGTTATTGATGGAGTTCAGTATGGAATCATTTCAAGTTTCCATGATGGATGTGGAATTGCGGAATACCCAATTGTTTACACCAGGGTGGCCCATTATTTAGACTGGCTTTCAGATAAAATATAAATTTGTAATTTTATACCGACTAAATTTCAATAATTGTATTCCTTTTTCGTAACTTTTAATAAAATATAGTCTTTTTAAGGTTAGAGGATGTGTTTAATTAATACTGTTAATAGAAAATACGTAGCTTAATCAAATTTGAGAAATATGGTATTGCTACAATCGTGAATAGAGGGGAGGGCGAAAAACTTTTTTTTAAATTTAGTATTATTTATGTGCCGATATCTCTTTCATGTACTTCAACATTTGAATCTGGCATTTTTAAAATAAAAAATATTATTTAGCTAAGAATGAAATAAACAAACTATACGGCCAGAAGATTGGAGAAAATGTTTCCACTAATGATTTTTGTGTATGAAAATTATAAATAAATGTTTTTTATTAATAAATTGTATTTTGCTTTACTAGGCTATATAATTTCTTATATCTTCTATTTTTAATTCAGTATACTTTTTTGGGCAGCTATGGTTGTAGCCGATCCTGGGACATTATCGAACGATATTTAACTTTGTTACTTATTAAGGCTCCACTCGTAAGTGCAGCTGGATAAGCTTTATGCGGAAAACTTTGCGTCAATGTTACAAACTTTTTGGAGTTGACAACCAATACAAATTAGTTTATGGGAAAAAAATACCCTCAGCTTATTTATTTCAATTTTGTGGAGTGTTCGCTACATTTTTCTATTAAGGATCGTATAGTTGGAATATATATAATTTTTTTGTGTTAGAATGTCTTCGAAATGCCGCTTGCTTAACTGGTTGGTAGCTTTTAAACTTGACCAAATTTTTTTAAACAAACTTACTGGTAGAAAATTTTCCGAACAAAACTTTTAGGGTAAAGAGGTTGTTTAGTTTCGAATTTAGTATTTTCTTTTAAACTTCATTACACATATTTGCGAAAAAAGTTAAAGATGAACTTCTCTTCTTCCAAATAAAAGAATTTATAAAAGTTTGTTTTTCTGCCTTTTTATTTTTAAAACCCTTTGTTTCAACACTTAATTTTTGTTACAAGCTACACACACCGGGGTATACGTCACTCCAGCTTATTTATACATAATAATTGAACTATTGAAACTATTTTTTGATGGTAATTTTAGATTTCAATAAATATATTGATATGATATTTTTATTTAAAATTAGAAGTATTACATGTTTTTGGTTTTCAAATTTATAATTTGATAATCAACGTTTAATGGGTAAGGTCGGTCCTAAAAATAAAATTTTGAAAAGAAATCAGGATGTCGACTATGAGAATTGTCAGATAGAATTATGAGAATTGTCAGATATTTTTAGAGGGTTGTCAGAACAGGTTTTTTTGAATGGAAAAATAAAAATTGTTGGATTTATTGAATGGAGATAAATATATATGATTATTTTATTTGAAGCAGGAATAGAATAAATATTAAAGGAAAGTAAGGTACATTTTATTAAAAATATTAACGAAAGAAGTACTTATCCAGTAGAATACTAAAGAATAAGTAATTTAGTGAACAGTTGAATATAAATAACATTTAACCAGAAAAGTTACATAATAGAAGAAGCAGTGAGGTACAATTAGGGTACCAAGAGAACCGTCGAATCCAGAAAGAAGAATGAAAATCTTTTAGTATACGTAGTGAATTAATATATTGTGTGATTTTTTTTTTTTTAGTTTCAAAATTAATGTAAGTTCACCAAACGTTGAGGGAATTTTTGAATAAATCAGTTAAACTTGGAGGTAAGAATTTTCCGATTCAATAAGATCCAAATCATTGTATTTGTTTTGAACCTACGGACCCTGAGATTAAGCAGTAAAAGTCGAGTTATAGGGTGAGTTAAAATTTTTTAATACATTGTAAAATTGATTTGTCTTAACAAAATTTTATCTACATAATTTATATTAAAACTAAATATTTTTATATCAATATGTATATTTAAAACTAGAAAAACTGATGACTCAAATAACATTTTATTGATTTATCAAGGTAAAAGACAATTTTTACCAAAAATTTCACGGTATTAATGGAAATATTAAATGTAATATAAATAAACATATTCATTTAGTTAAACTATATAAAAATGAGTAACAAATTTCATTTTTGACGTCTTACAATATTTTCGGGTAAATCTGAGCTTCACTTGTATCCGTTTTTAGTTTAAGATTGATAACCTTTTGGCCTCTGGATGTTTTTCTTTCAGTTTTCTATTGTTTTTTTTTTACAATTTCGCCATCAAGTTGAATTTAAACATAACTGATATTCTTATAAGAAGTTTTACAGAAAAAAACAACCATTTTCATTCTCTTCATCGGAAGATTCAAGAAAAAAATGTTCTAGTTTAACTATTTTATCCGAAAATAAATCAGGGTTACAGCTGAATGTTATACCTCAAAATATTGGTTATAAAACATTGCACCAATGGTCTAATAATTATCAATATAGGACGGTATTTCATATACAGGGTGTCCCAATGAAAAGTAGCCCGTTTCCATTTGATAAAATTTGGTTACGCTGAATTTAAAAAAAGCAGATTTTTAAAAAATTCAATGTATAGGTAATACATAATGTCTGTGTCACTAAAGCAAAACTTATAGCAAAATAACACATATCAGCAAGAACCGCACGTGACTACGATTTGTTTAAAAGTTATAAGCTCTGGAAATGGGTTACTTTTCATTGTGACACCGTGTATATGTCGTGTGTTTGAATCCGATTTGAAGCGATATTTTTAAAATATTTTTTTTTATTTTTCCCAGATTTTTTTTACCTTTTGCGGATCAGGAATTTTTAACTAGATTATTGTACTGTTATTATAGACCGTCAGATAGTGACCGATTTAGGTGCCCCATTTTCGCATTAAAGCCTCGAGGAGGGCTGAAAAGTACATCGAGATTAAGTAGAATAAAAGAAAATTTACGAGTGGCTCTTGGGGATCACAAATGGAAAATTCGATTTTCCTTATCAGAAAAATTTTCCGACTCCAAAATGAACTTATACATTCGGGTCATTCAAAAAAATATGTTTTTCAAACTAGTGACGACATATGTTTTCATACATTCGATGGGCTTGTGCGGAAAAATCGGGCAAAATCTTTATTTTTCATTACAAGATTACGCCCTTATTTCAACCTTTTAGACACTTGCAACATTAAATCCTTTGGTTTCCCGAAGCCTTGTTCTATTAATTAAACATATAGTGAAAACAGCTTGTGTGGAAAAGTGGGCAACAAATAATCTTTCGTTTTTGTTAGTACCATGTGTTATTCCCAGCAGCCACTCGTAAATTTCCTTTTATTCTATTTAAAATCGATGCAATTTTTAACCCCCTTCGAGGCTTGTATGCGAAAATGGGGCACCTAAACCTGTCACTATCTGACGGACAATTATTATAGAGCTAGCAATATATGCAAAACGTCATATTTTGCATATACAGGGTGGCTCACGCTCAACGGGACGGAGCTTTATGGGAAAACAACCAAAGATATAAAAAATTCGTTTGGGAGGAATACGTAGGTTACAGACGGCTACAATTTAAAATTTGTTAGATGTATACAGGATGTCCCACATAAGAGAAAATATACAAAGTTATATTATTTTTAATGGAACACCCTGTTTTTTATTTTAGAATTTAAAACTACATCAAAAATAATGTCAGTTAACTAAAGGTTCCCTATTACTATTATTATTAGTTTTCGATTTATTTGAATTTTTAAGGAAAAAAAGTCTCCCAGAAATTAATTGTTTACTCTTGTTTGAATAATTTTTAATGAACTATTTTTTTTTTCTTATGTAGGACATCCTGTATACATCTAACACATTTTAAATTGTAGCCGTCTGTAACCTACGTATTCCTCCCAAACGAATTTTTTATATCTTTGGTCGTTTTCCCATAAAGCTCCGTCCCGTTGAGCGTGAGCCACCCTGTATATACAATTTTTGATTTTGAATGCATATATTGACTTTTGTTAATTTTTTGGCATATATCTGACGTACTAATTGGCTGGACATATTAAAATTATGAGTTTTGGACCAAAATAATATTTTATGAAATGCCTTTACAGGTCGATTTCCTAAATTGTTGAAGGATTAACTTTTCCCTGTAATAAATTACGGTTAATGGTGTAGGTACTTGAGAGGATTAAATTATAAACACCCTCCTTAAACCAACAAATTTTGCTAAATATCCTTACAGGTAGTTGTATTATTATCTTCAAATTTCTAAATGACTCAGTTTACTTTCAACTTCATTTCAGTCTTTATTGTTGTGTTGTGTTAACCAGTGGGAAAAATTGCAAAATTAATTGAGTCGTGGGTAAAATCTTATTCAGATTTTGTTGTAGAAGGTGATAACCAGGTGTTTTGTAAAACATGTTCTAAAATTGTAAGTACTTTTTTATTTTATATTTTATTTTGACCTTTCACAATGGTAAATCAAACGACAGTAAAATATTATTTCAACTCACAGTTAAAAAAAAGTAGGGCAACTTTACAACGTACGCATTTATTTAATTTAATTAAAACTTCAACATCTACAGGAATTTATTTGTTTTAGATTCCATGTAAAAAAAGTTTCAAATCGACCAACACGCGAAAACGCCCTCACATATTGCAAAGCAGAAATCTAAAGACACTCGCAGACAAAGTCAACTTCCCTTGAAACAATATTTAGAATCTGGATCGTAGAAGTGAACAAGCTATTTTTAATGAAGATTTATGCAAAGCTTTAGTGACTTCGAATATCCCTTTAATACGATTAAATAATCCAAATATCTGATCATTTTTGCAAAAATACTGTAAATTTAATATTCCAGAGCAAAGTATATTACGCAAACGTGAAGTTGACAGTTTTTACATTGAGACTCGTGAAAAAATTCGTGAGATTACCGTTGGAAACCATTTTTACATTATTGTGGATGAAACAACAGACTCTTTTGGTCGATATATAGCCCATTTAATGATAGTTTCATTACGCGAAGAAATGCAAATTGGTCCATATCTAATCGCTTCAAAGCAATTAGATAAAACAAATAACTTGACAATAACTCGTTTTATCCAGACAGAATTGTCTTCCTTTTTTCTTCCGGAAGCCGTTCCAACAGAAAAATGTTTATTGCTGTTATCCGATGCTGCCCCGTACATGGTAAAAGCCGCACAAAATTTAAAAATGTTTTATGAAAACTTAATCCATGTTACATGTTTGGCTCATGGCCTTAACAAAGTTGCAGAAGAAATTAGGTCTAACTTTCCTTTAATAAATGATTTAATTAGTATTGTAAAAAAAATATTTCTTAAAGCTCCTCTAAGAACTCAATTGTACAAAGAAAAATTTGCATTTGTACCCAAAATTAGATTTAGAACAAAAAAATTTACCTCTAGTGACTTCCGTAAATTTAATTAAGACGTTTGAATCATA